TTTTTTTCATACTTGTTGAATATCTGGTGTTTATCATCAGAACTAAGTTCAATTTGATACCAAAAAATGTAGCCTGATTTTATTGATATTGATTATGATGCAAGGTTCATGAAATTTTTACGCAAACATAATAGTTATACTATAAATTTATAAAAGCTTAATAAAATTCAAAAAGTAAATGATAAAACTCTTATAAGAATGACATGAAAATCAGAGAGTCCACCAAATTTAAATAATTTTATACAAGTCCACTCCCCCACTTTAAAAAGTCTTAAACTTAGAAAGTTTTTAATAATTTCTAGAATAGACCCGAGTAGACTTTTATTTGTGTAAAAACTTGAATAAAAAAACATTGGTTTTAGTAATAGTAATTATAAATCATATTTAGGTTTTATGGAAAATAAGACCATAGTTTAATAATAAATGGAGTATTTAATTCCAACAAATGAAATATATAAAATCACAATTTAATAGTCAGACTAAATTCCAAAAATATAATATGGAACCAATATAATAGAGTAATAACGAAATGTACGGTTTAAACACACTCACCGCACCGCCAACAGCTTGCTTGACAGCCTTCATGTCGTCCAGCCGGAACCTCGCCGACGCCAGCCTCCGCGGCCACAGCTCCACTCCGTCGCCGCCGCTGAAGACGGTGGTCCTATCCCGCAGCCACAGCGCCCTCAGCCCAAACTCCAAACAATAGATCAAAGTAAACCAAACCGCCTTCACCACCGCCCACGCTCTCCAACTCCTCACACGCGCCGCCGATCCTCCTATTCCGGCAATCGTCGGAATCCTCTCCGGATCCTCCGCCCGCCGGCAGCAGGACAGCAGCATCGACATCAGCGAGATCCCGTCCCCGAGCGCGTGGTGCACACGGAACACCGCCGTGTTGTGCGCCAGCAGTAGGTGGATCTCCCACAGCGGCTTATCGGCGGGGAGCGGCGAAGACACCGACAGATCCGCCACGAAATCGGCGACGGCGTCCTCGTCGGGTTCGCCGGAGATCGGCTCGCGGCGGACGATGACGTGGCGATCGACGTCTACCGGAGTCCGGCGCCAGTGCTCGCGGCCGCGCGGGTCCCGCACCATGAGGCTGCAGAATCGGGGGTGTTGGAGCATGACCGATCGCCGGACCTCGTATTTGACGGCGTCGACGTCGATGGGGGACTCGACGGCGATGGCGGCGTGGATGACCTGCTCCATCTTCGGCTGCAGGAAGAGGCGGCCGGCGGGGGTCAGCGGCTCGTCACTCTTTAAGGTCTCCGGCGCCATTGATGGAGGAAAAGGAGCTTAGAAGGAACAAATAATAATTGCGGGTTATTTAATAAGACCTGTGGTGCAGAGAGTGTAATTCAAAGTCAAAATTGGAGTTATTTATATACATGGCAAACGCCGCCTTAAATTGACTGCAATGTATAATTATTTATAGTAACATCTATAAACAAAAGGATAGAAAATCTCTCGTGGTCCCCTTAGCTAAAAATATCGTACTTGTGCTTGGATATGATTTTTTTGGCTTTTCATTGTTTTTCATTTTTTTTTTCCATTTTTTTAAAGTTGTGTCTTGAGATTAAAATTCTAGTATTATTTCAATAATTATATTGATACAACATAAGTTGTGTAGGTAACCTTATCTGGAAAATAAAAATAAGACGGCTATGTAATATAATATCAAGGCATGTGAGAACACAATTTCCTTAAAATAGATTCACCCCGTATGAGCGTTTGTTTCTCAGGATACAACGGCAAAACTGAATAAAATTCGGCGAACTAGAACTATGCCTGGACTCACTAGTAGAAAAAACACTTTTCATATCGGGTGTTTACATCGATTATTCAAAACCGATGCAAAAAACACTTTTCACATCAAGTGTTTACAAAACCAATGTGAACAATTTGGTAGGCAACATTGTTTACATCGGTTCTATGTACAACCGACGTTAAAATATAATATACAACATCGGTTTAGGAAAACCGATGTGAGTGGTTAGGGGTGCGGTACTAATAACGTCGGTTATTAAATAACCGATGTGGTCGGGGTGATTTTAACACATTGATCATAAAAATTGATGTGTTATATTAAGTAATTTCCTTGGCTCATTGGTTATTGCAAACCGATGTTAGGCACGGTATTAAACTATTAATAGAAAAATAAGTAACTGTTTAAGTTACAACTTTACCAAACACTAAAGAAAAATGGGGAATAAGCTTTTAGATATATTGTCTTTTCTTTCTTGGTTTTGTCTATCAATAAAACTTAACCAAAGCTTATATTTATATGGCCTTGAGGATGAATGATGAAACAAAAGCACTAACTCCCAAAACTTAAAGAAATGGAGTTAACATCTTGCAACATTTAAAACATAACATTATGCAACATTAAAGAATAAGTTACAAATTAAATTTGCAAGATGAAAGTTAATGTTATGTTTTGTTTCAGTCAATTTTTTGCAACAAGTTGCTCGACTCTCATCTCGGAGTTCGTATATTCAGTTCAGACTGTCTAGGTTGGATGGACCAAGTGCCCCTGTCAGTGGGAATTTGCGGAGCGTGGTCATGGTCGAGGTAGCCAAGATTTGTGAAGGTCTAGCAAGACATTACTTAGCGAGCTAAGGGAGCGTGTTGAACCGATCCCTTAAGGAGAGAGGATTGGAAACAAGATTCTAGACATTTGAAAGATCTATGTGTCTAGTGAGGATATTAAGTCCTTTTTTCGAAAAGAAGTCTTGAAGGATAAAATAACTACTTTATATAAGACATGAGATACGATTATTGTTGTTGACTATGCAATATCATACTTTTAATTATAAAAAACTCAGGCTTACTTGATTGTCGGAGGTCTTACGAAGGGACCACCTCTCCCAGACGCTTTGAAGGTCTCAAACCAACGAAGGGAGAAAGTTTCTAGGAATACCAATCATCATCAATAATTGGGTTTATTTGATAGATCCATACCAAATTGGAGTCGTATGTGGAAAACCTAGTTTTATTCGAATCAGCAGGACTGTGTTTCATACAACCAATACGGTTAACAATGATGAAAAAAAAGCAATCTAAGACGTTGTTTTGATGACACTTGGTCGAGAAAGAGGTCAATGGGATTCGATCCACCACCATGATGGCATGGCCATGTAGAGACACCTCATACACCAGTGAGCGTAGCTTTCTGCGTCACGAAGATGCTTTTTAAGGCCCAAGATGATACGACTCAGGTGTAAAATGATGCAGTTATACCTCGGCTACAACTGGATTCCACAAGATTAGGGTGGCAGACTAGTGAAGGGGAAGATATAGAAACAACAACTCAGAAATTACAAATGGGAGGAGCAGAATGATGTGGAAACTGTTGGGTTCGCTATACTGTACGGATTAAAATCGCAGCAAAAATTATACAATATAATTATCATTTATCAAATAAATACTTAATCCATAAGTACATATAGCGAATAAAATGATCGGCATCTTTTAAAATTACGCAAAAATACGAATTTTGATTTGTAGAGAATTTCGAAAATTACCTTTTAAATGTCCTTCTTATTTCGACGATGATGAGGAAATCGATTTCCGGTTCAAGTGATTCAAATGTTTCCCCTCTAATCAAGTCCATCTTTTGAATTCCAACTCCGAGAACAATTTCTTCGCTAGTAGAAATTTTCCGGAATTGAATTGAGATTTTGGAATCAAATAAAAGAGGAGACTTATTTTTCTTAGAATGCTAAGAACTTCTCTATTTCTCAATATTAGAGAAAAATGATCAACCATCAACAAGTTCTTATATTTGAATTATTCAAGACAAGAAAATTTAATGTGATGTTTAACTCATCACCAAATTCTTAAATAATGATTTAATAGCATTAAATGATCATAATCATGACCATATTAATCAATTTCACAAGAAACTCTTGATGGAGATTTGCATGATTTAAAAAATAAATAAATATTTATTTTATTCTTTAATCTTAATTAAAGAATAAAGATAATTACCTATAATTATGAAACTACCTTTCAAAATTACTTGGTAAAAATCTTATCTCCCATGTAAAATAATATCTCCTCTTTTATGTAGGCTTTTAATATATAATCATATTAATATTTGAATTTTGAATTTTAAAGTCCAACTTTAAAATCCAACTATTAATTTAGTAATTCCAATAATTACTTAATTAATATCCAAAGCCTAATTAATCAATCCAATTAATTAATTAATTTTATTCCTTTAATTGACATCTAATCAAAATTAGATTTAATTAAATAATCAAATTATCTAATTAAGTCTTGTCAATTAATCCAACTATTGGAAATACCAATTTTAAAATGTCATCATCCAAAATTTGGTGTGACTCTTTTAGGTTCACGATTAATACTAGTAGTGGGTTTACAACTCCTTGTAATTTAAATTAATTTAATTAATTCACATTCTTGAAATTAACTCCTTAATTTCAAGAACCCACCAATCATGGTAACACCTAACAGGTAGGATGATTATCTAGTATTAAGTGAAATAGCGAGTAAACCTTTTCGATTACAATTACATACATGTAAAATCCTTTCGACAACTAATTTCCCAATTAAATCTTGCGTATGGTTTTTAGTCGAAACCCATTTGATTTAATAACTATGATTCTATTTCAAGTTTAGTGATTCCTTTATGAATCCATATTCATCTCGCATTGGCCAAGGTCTTTGAATCACAAACTATGAAAACATAGGAAATTCGCTTATCCTTATGAGTGTCGAATTCTTTGTTGGCCACAGATAAACCTTCATACATATTAATACAGTACCTAAAATATTCCTTTTATGATTGTCCAACAATCAAAAGATAAATCAAAGTAAAGCACAATATGCATAAGATTACTATCGTGCCTCAAGTCAGAGGATCAATCATGTACTATTGCAACATGAAAATTCTTATTCGACAGTAAAAAGTTCCATTTAAGAATTTTCATACGGTCATGCTCAGTGAACTTGTTCCCTAACGAGCACCCACATATATGTATTTGCGTCCAATGCTAATGTTGATGAAATGCAACATTCTTTTCCAACAAGCATACATCATATGTGCAAGTCTTATTAGGTTATTCGATATCCCATCTCGAAATACCCATCGACTTGGAACTTTATTTAAGATCAAAGCTTTCAAGGCATCTTCCACGATTACCATCCAATGCGTAACCATGCCTTATAGTTTTTAATGATCTAGGGACTTTATCATATGTCCAAATATATGTAAATACATAAGACAAAGTAATGCCTTTTATTTAATATAAATTCCAATAAATTGTATTTACAAGTAGAATGTATCCAATCTGATTGAACGCTGGGTATTCTACTCAAACAGAAACAAACCTGGAAATTACAGATTCAGCCTTGGTAACGTCAAACACTCCGATTGTCTGGAAATCGGTTTGTCTCATTCCTCCTTGCCGGTAGAACGCCACGTACCTGAAAAGAACTCTCACATTGGAGGGGTTTCTCGGTGAAGAGCTTCAAATGTTTAAGTCAGTGTTTGTTCTACTTAATTCTCAAGAGTAAAAATGGATAAATCTTGCTCAATAAGAAAAGCTCACCCCTATATATAGGGGTGAGATACCTGACCTAGGAGGTGCCCGAATTTGATGAGTTGTCTGCTCAAAGCTGCCCGGGCCTGCCCGTCCGTGCACACATAGTGTGCGTGTGTTAGAAATAGTTACCACCATAGACCAATACATTTGCGCACGTGTCCTCTGCACATGGGGTAAATATTTCCCTGAATATTCCTCCGAAATTCCCTTAAAGGCTCTTATGCTCAATCCTGTCTAGATCGATCCTCAGACTGCTCTTATTCTGTGAGGTGGTCGATCAAATACTCCTTTACTCGATAGGTCGATCTTCGACCTGATCCTTCATGGACCCGAGATTGACTTATACCCCTCGCTCCAAAATCCTCCATATCATGTTCCCATAGTGTTCGACCACAACCATTTTGCTCGATGCTGTTCGACCAGTGTGGCCCACTCAATATTGAATCCGTTCGGCCAGCCTAATGAACCAGTTTACTCCTTTAGGTATAATATCCCATATCAAGTCTAAACTCAGATTTTTCATGTGGAGGCTCCTGAATAACTTATTGAGTACAAAGCATCAGCTGGATCAAAGAGGAGTCCCAAGGGACATCATGTGTATGATCTGTAGAGAAAAGCCTAAGGACATAAATCACCTGTTTGTGCACTGCCCTAAGAGTAAAAGATGTTGGAAGTTGTTTGGGTTGGAGTGGGATGGTTTCAACTTGAAAACTTCACCTTCTGAGATTGGTGGGAAAAATTATGCAACAACAAGAGAGCCAACAAGATGAGGAAGAGATTGCCACTATCAGTTTGCCTATTGTGGAGAATATGGAGGGCCAGAAATAACATAGTATTCAGGGGAGAAAGTTTTCGGACAGAGGAAGTGGTAGCTGGTACTAAGAGAGATTGGGAATAAGTAGTGGGTTGCAGCTTGGTGGCTTCAGAGGAGTCTATTCAAATCGCCCTGTACAACATCTTGAGAAAGAATTTGAGGGTAGGGCTTGTTTCTATACAAGTCAGTGCTATAATTTCCTCTAGAGGCTTGGTTGGGGCAGGTATGGTTGCTAAGGTTGCAGAAGGAACTGTGTTTGAAGGTCAGATAGATGGGAATAATCAAGCAATCAAGTGGAGGTAAACCTCTTAGCAGTGAGATGGGCTCTGAATTTGGCTAAACAAAAGGGCTGGGAGGCTGTTTGCTGCTGCTTAGACTCTGACAGCTTGACTAAGGATATCATTGGGGATTGCCAATCTTTGGTTCTTAATGATCTAAGTTTTAAGTCTGTGGTTGATGATATTGTAAATATTTGTTCTTTGTTTACTTCCTGTGACTTTCTTTCTTCTTCTTCTTTAGTAGATAGTGGTAGTTTGGCCTTGATGGCCTTGGAGGGGGAGTAGTGTGTAACTCCCTCGGTTGGTTGCCTATCTATCGTGTGTGATAGTGATGGCTATTTTTATGTTCAGTTGAACACCCTCTTGTACTTTCTTGA